ACAAACTGGAAAGGACATTAATTAAAAGCCGAGAAGCGCTGGGTAAACCAGCGGTGGAGCGAAAGGCACGGTACAGAATGAACTTGTCGCAGCCTAATGTGCTAGATTTAATGAAATAGGTCGCAGAAAATCTAGCGAAACCAAACATTAACCTCTTAAGAAGGAATAGACAGACACCTATAATACAGGACGTAAACATCAAGCGAAAAACCATGAGGACCCTATTGGTCTAACCTATCATCAAAGACGCAGGGGATATACGTTTCGGACATGACGGTGTCACCTACACAGCGTTCACTCTTCATGGCGTGGAGCAGTCATATACGTGAAACCTTCATCTGCTTTAGTGTCTACCAGTAGAAAATCTTAGTAGACTGAAAAACATAGAGCGAGAGGAAGACGTTTACCAGCAGCTCACGAAAAGAACAAGCGATTATCATCGTGGAAAACGTCGTTCCATGAAACATAACAGCTGCTTAAGAAAAGACTGACATAATCGGCGAGTAGTAGATGCTTCGCTAAAATATCGGTATCTCTAAGACATATTTGTATATTAAACAGTAATATACCATCGCCGTGAGAAGGTAGAGAGCGAAATAGAATATACAAATGAATAAAAAACCGATCGATTCGTCACCGATATATACACATATATTTAGTCGACGGGGAATAGGACGTCCTTGAGAACGAACGCAGTGAGTGTAAAAAACGTCATCTCTATCGCGAACGCTTAGGCTCAAACACCTTGCAACGTACAAACAAAGACAAAAGAAAGTTCGAAAGGAAAAAGAAAAGTCATCCTAAAAAAATCCCTAAAAAAGAATCACAGCACGACATGCTTTGCCAGTTGTAGTAGCTGGCGTACGCCTCACATGAAATTCCGTCGAAAGCGTTGCTAGTAGTATCGCTAAATTCGCAGCAGAGAATAACAACAACAACAACAACAACAACAACAACAACAACACGAACAACAGCAGATGGGTTCATCAGTTCCTCCTGTCGCATTGGCCTACGAGAGAGCACAACTGGAAGATTGAAAAAGAAGGGAAAACCACTGAGGAACCAAGTGGCGAAAAAAAGCGAGGAAGCTACGCAAAAAGATGTATATTTTGTGGGATCGTGCGAGGTCTTCGCGTGACCATTTGAATTGAGTTGTAATGGCCCAGCTCGGCTACGTATCGTGCTTGGGGAGCAGGTGAAAAATAGAAAACAGCAAAAAAACAAGGAAAAGATCATAGGCAAGAACAATAATTTGAAGGACACGGCAGTGGGAAGCGTTGGGAAAGAAGTACACTGTGGTGTTGTTGGTGGTGGTGATGAAGGTTAGAGTTGAAGGTGTTTACTACAAAACAAGAAAGCCCACAAACGTGACGCTGACTTGTTATTGATTGATTTTTACTAAGTGATATCTTTCTAAGGGTAGTAGCAGACATCAGCAAAATGAACAGACTGTCTCATACCGCACACTGCTAATGAGTACAACAAAAGAATAGAAAATTGACGAACCCAGGGGTCAGTCAAGAAGCGGTTAAAGCAAGCAAACAAACAAATCCGTAAATCGCTAAAAGAAGCAGAAACATTGTAGAAGTTAAACAACCATTGCTGCCTAGTGATCTCTGTGGGACGATACTTTGGGGGTGGCGGAACGATATGTTACAATGTCCTATAATCTACAATAAACTAATGTCGCAATAATCGTAACGATGACGATACAAATCCAGATTCAAGAAATGAACCGAAAAACGCATTACCGGTACCATCAACAACAGCAACAACAAACTCAGAGGCAAACGGTTCCGCGACAGTGAAGGGCCTTAAGGACAAGCTAAGGTCTGGTACAGGTTAATAAGACGACAGTCTAACTATTTGCCTTAATAGCGACCGTGGCATCTATACGCTTCCAACGGAGATCCCAAACAATATCGGTTGTATCAGAGAACAGGAAGCGACTGTGATACTTTTGGGACAGCCCTCCTTTTCTATAATTTCTCGCCTCCCGTCGCTCTACCCGTCGGAATACGCTCTATCCCGTTCCAATTATCTTAATCAGTGTAAGAAAAACAGTTACCCCCATATTTGTTAGTTGTTCGTGCACATTCGGAGTCGATCAACGAAGTCAGCAATCTCAAACGGAGGCGAACACAACTCACAACTGTTTGAAAGAAGAAATAAGCCAACAAATAAACAGGCAAAGAAAAGCGAAGGCACAATGCTAGAAGTTTGGTGGTTGTGAAAGGTGATAGCCAAGAACGATCGTGGGGCTAGATCGCCTAAGTGGCCTTCCCCATTGACCCTGCGCTGCTGCAATAAGATATTGCTAGTCGAAATTCAGGCCGGTTTCAGCCTAGGCCGCCTCCTGCTCGCGCCCGGCGGCACTGGCCTCCGAGGACCCTCCCATATCCAGCTTGAAACACGATGGGAGCTAACCAGGGCAGAGTTAAGGTCTACGGTGCTCAGTCCGCTTCGCTCAAAGTAAGCACGGAGGGCACCCTTCAACATAAGCTTTCATACTGTTACGAAGAGAAATTTTTATGGAGTACGGATAAAACACGTAGCAAAGGAAGACCATTAATTAATATGCACTATGCTGGGCGCTGCCACTTTGAAATTTGCGACAGATAAATCTGATAAGATCTGAATGGCTAAAATATGAATGATAAAAATGAAACTGGCTTTTGGATCATTTAGCCAAAATTATCTATACATGGTGATATAGGATATTCCATAGTATTTGAACTACTCTATAGTCACCATGGTTTGCTATCTAAAGGGTTTTAAAAGTAAAAACCAGAAATATCAGAGATAGATGACGATTATTCTTGTCGTTATGGTTATTTTTATATTCTGCGTCGGTGTGGTTCTTCACAGTCTCTAACTGGTTTCCAAATTTGCTTGGCGTACATTTCAAAATTACCAACTCTACTTTATCATACATGTGCACACTGGCATAGCAAAAAAAAAGAGGCTCTTAATAAGGCATCCGTGAGAATACTTTTGTTTCCTTCTCCGCTTTTTTGATCCCACGCTTTGCCAGCCAAATTATGTATTGTTTTCTTGGTTTGGCTCCCTGCCTGTCTGTCATCCTGTTGACTAGGGAAACGTTACCAGAACGCATAACAGAACATGGAACACCCCGAATCGTCCGCTTCCTTCACCATCTACCTTATCGTTTTACATTGGACGGTCAGTTGAGATGTGTTCTTATATTTTAATTTGACCCCCTACGCAGTATTAATGCGATTTGAGGCTTTAAAGGTATCATATTGGGGGCTGAACGTGTCAGCCCCGCGCAGCCAAACGTTGTTCGTATTTAAACATAAAAATATGGAGACAAAATAAGCCATCACGGACACGCCTCTCAAATTAGCTCGCTCAAGAACCCGTACGCCTTTCCTTGCATAACTAGTCCGTTTTAACTATTCGGTCCCAAGAACTATCTTGCCTACCTAACCTAGAAGCACAAGAAAGTCATTTGAGGCAAGCTGAGACCACCGGCCCCGTGACTCAATCCCGGCTCGCTGCTCTATTGGCTTTTTATTGAGCTGTTTTCGTCGAGCACAAGAATTTTGCCGTTCCAATATTCTATATTCGCTTTTCTAGCGACTTCACCGAGTCTATGTCTTAACCAAGCATTGCTTCTGCTGGCGCTGTCTTTTTCCCATTTGAATTAGAGCCTCAGTTTTTTCCGCTGCCTTCGCGGACGGAACCTAGGCATGCAACGACTTATCACCAGCAATATATTTTGCAGACTTGTAGTAGAACCTGAGATCGAAGGTGTCAGCTCATCAATGCTGTTGAGCCGAAAACACTCCTTTTTGGCGTTTGAGCTAGCCAGCCAAAGTGGTGTCTTTTCAGTAGAATGAATGAGCACAAGGGAGCATATCTCTGTCAGCCCTGCTTGCATTCCTTGGCCTCGCAAACGCCTTGAAGGCAGACCGTTATTTGGGCCTTGCACCATAGATACCCGCTAGCAGCATCTCAAGCTGTTCCCTCTGAAGAGACAGTTCTTGCGAGTTTGGAAATTGTTTAGAAACACCTATATAGACAATATTACACAGACGCATTGTCTATATAACGTACAAAATAATTCATACTATGTTTCGCATAGATATAACAGGATGCCATTGTTGTCTGTCCATTCTCGTTCATTTGGTTTTCTATAATGCGATCGACGGCTGTATCATGTCGTTCTTCACAACGCTCACGTCGCGACGTTCGCGTAAAGCAGAACCTGCGTAGCCAAAAGGACAAACGGTCTCCCCGACCCTGCCAAAGGGGGTCCTCTGTTCCCTCATCAACCAGCCAGGTCCCCAACGATCTGACGAACCAGAGCGAGGGATCCAGTAGGGGCCTTCAGTCAGGGACGACGGCCAATAAGAGTTACCAGGTACCACTACAGGAAGCAGTGAGTTAGTGATACAGCAGTTACGATCACAGATCGCCCGGTTAAAAGTCGGAGACCGCAAAGCTGAGAAATCTTACAAAAATTCAGAATGGAGCTTCACCGTGCACTGCACAATGTGTCATAACAGTAACACTGACAATGACATTTATTATCGTTATCTTTAGATACATTGTATATGCATAATAGATTACCAGCCATATATGTACGTCTGCATTTCTTGTTAGCTTTCCACGAAACATATACGAAAATGATCAGAGAAATACGTCCTCGACACTATAGATATTTAGAGCGATCTCAGTTGAATATAATAGTCGCCCCCATCTTCAAACCGACATTGAAGCTTGAAGTACATATTTGTGTGTTACACACACACACACAGAGCTTGTCAAATTACTGTTCGTAGGCAACAGGACAATGTTCTTGACTGTGTTACGCGTGCTCGATGAATCTTGGAGTAGAAGAAGACAGAGAGGAAATCTCCATGCGCCCGCTAGCCCGCGCAGTTTTGAAAACATTTTATATTACATTCCTTAAGTGTATGTATCTAACATAGGTGTTTGATGTTTCTCTTTTTTACGTCTGTTTCATTTCGCAGAGTCTCGGGCCTAGCCTGGACCAAGCGCTGTTGACGGAGGCGCATGGGCTGATCACGGATATGCTGCAGGATCCCGCGCTGCCGCCACACATCACATGCGGCCTGCGGGCATTGGCGAATCTGTTATGTCCCCCGGGAGGGCCCGCAAAGCCGCGGGGAAGTCAGGGGGGGTCATTGGCGGTCGAAATAAGGCCCACCTGTGACTCGCAGGAGGAAGATCTGCCGTATACGGGCGAGAAGCCATCCGCCATTCCCAAGGTAGAATGAGACAAAAATAGCAAGCAAAACAAATGCTGAGATACACGAACATTCTTGTACAGGCACATAATGTACACTATATATTAGCTTCGTACACAGTATACGTATGATTGTTTAAAATCTTGGAGCGATTAGCAGTCGAAGCGGACAAACTCAATGGTAAAGAACGAACCCATTACACCTACAGTGATCTATTTACACTATCATATATAATAAGTTTTTTCGGTTGCAAGTGATCCGACGAACTCGAAACGAAAAACGCTTATCAGCCAATCATCGTGATCGGCGCACAGCTGCTCAACGTTTACCTATACCACATTCTACACATAATTTGTCTGACATTGTCTAGATAACAGTACGTAGTAAACAACGCTGTCGAAAGTCCACGACAAGACATTCATAAACCGTAAGACTCTACTATACCTAAGTTAAGCCTGCAGGAATGTACAGCATCCCGAGTAGTGTGAATTAGCCAATACATAGAGCTGGTGTACACTGCTAATAGCAAGTTCATGGCTTGAGGATCCTGTGCGCGATCCTCGCCTTCGTGTTTATTGTTCTGGTCAGCTGCTGATTGACAATGATGTGACCGTTCTTGGCTAGCTAGCCATAAAGCTCTGCAGAAGCCACTCTAGGCTCGTACCGAAGCAGCAGGTCACGGAGCAAAAATAGTTGCACCCACGTCGACAGGATAGCCTTTTCCCGGGACGTCTGTCCAAGGCCAGGACAGCGGGCACAACTGCATCCATAGTGTCCTCCATACCATAACACGTCCTCGTTGCTTAAGCGATCCTGGGCAGCTTTCCGGCAACAAGCCCACCCAACAAGCCTTAAAGTTTCCTAAACAGAACGAAGCCTAGCACACCGGATCGGTTCCGAAGGGGCAAGGAAACGAAAGAATCGTCTCCTTCTTAGCGTTCCCTGTTTGCTTTGTCCGCTTATTCGTGCGACGTTCCGCTCACACAGCGACGTGAATACAAGCGACCGGGTGACCAAATGAAGCTACGAATGGGCAACTATGTTAATAGAGAATGGCAAGGGGCTTTGCTTTCATTTGCGTACCAATATCGACACACATTCGGTTCGCTTGGCTAACTTTGAAGAAAAATTCGGCTGATGGGGTAGTTGGATCATGCATTGCAACTCCTTCCGTTCGAGCGTCACGGCAAACCCAGCCTTCGTTGGAGCCAGAGCGCTTCAATGCTGGCAGCAAATGATCTATTGGCGGTGTTGTAACCATCTTGACGTAAGCAGGTTAACCGGTCAAGCCTGAAATATGGCTTGCGTGTTAGGGGTGACTAATAAGCTAATACTATCCTAATCTCGTGTTCGTATGATTATCGCCTTACACTCTTTTCCTGTCTCCAAAATTCGCCACTATTTAAAGTAATTTCAATACGTCTGTGTCCGCTCTTCTAAAGATTAAAGCAACTCTGTAGATATAGATAAATCCAGAATAAAGTTTTCTTTTTTATATTTCTTGTCGGACCATCCAGACAGATAACAGCATCGCGTACAGGGCACGACCAAGACCGCATCTAACCAGACGTTTCCCTTATTGCAGTTGGAAACCACAACAAGGGGACCTAAGTAGGTGTCGTTGAAGTTACTGCCAGTGAATCTGTGCATCTGGTTGGAGAGGGCATTGTATCCCATGGATAAGCGCACAGCTTGCTCTATGATGATACTGAACATTCAGTGTCGTTCTGCTGTTTCAATAATATATAAGGAATCCCCGTTTGCCCACCAGCGGTGGGAGAACAATTAGCCAATCGTGGCTGCACTTGTTGTTCCTGCTTAGGATCAATGTTTAATATGATAAAATTACTAAAAGATAGAATTTAAGCCACTTAGCTACGATACGCTTAGAGAGCTTCGTAAACACGAGCGTTGGACTTTATAGCTACCCTTACATCTCTATGGTCGCAGGAAGAGCGTCGATGTCTGACAAATGAGTGTTTGGCCCGCATCTGCCCATTTACAAATATGCCCAGATCATAGTGAGATCTATATCTAACAGATGAAACTCTACTGAGGAGCACAGGCAAGCAAGGATTGATCCGAGATTAACGTAAACAGTTCTCGAGTAAGCCGCCCTCAAGCAACATATCCGCAGACCGAAATGAACCACTCAGTATCGGATAGCAGCTACGAATATAATTGACATTGAAAAAAGCTTACTGAATCCCTGCCTTGATCCAGTATAATAGTAAAGGTGAAGCAATTTGCAATGGCAATTCATCTAGACGCTAATATGGAAACCAGTAATGGATAGCTAAACAGGTTGACGTTTACGGAAAATCATTCTGCATAAAAAAAAATCACGACTTTGGCAGCCAGACTATCGTATACAGTTGTCATGGTACTCACGTCCAGTTTCGTTCGACACGGTTGAGGGTGAGAACATCGGCCGACAAACGACTGTAGGAAAAAAAAAGCTATCGAAAAGCTAATTAAATGGTTTATTTATCCGTTGTAGCAGAAGCTTAAGGTGGTCCTGTTTCGAATTAAGAAGAGCTACTTGATGGCGCCTCTAAATTAAGTGGCCAATTTTTTTCACTAAACAAACACTTTCACCTTGTTTAAGATAACCAACCTTGATTGACTGAAAAATTCGCTTTACACATTAGGCACAGTTTACTTCTGGTTTTTCTTTTTTTTTTGTCCTATGCAGGAAATGTTGTTCCACAGCGTAAACATTTGTAGACTCTTCATTTTACACCTGTTAAATTAGGAGATAATTGCATTAACAAATGGGGAATTTACAACTGAATTCAATTAATCAAGACTCTCCCACCGTTGAGTGACATTGTGCCAAACTGGCAAGAGACAATCCTTTTTGCCCCACCCTATATAGAAAATGCCTCATTATATAGTGCTGTGATATTACGTTTCTGTGGTAGACGCCAGTTCTATTGCTAGTAAAACTTAAATAATAATAGTAATAATAATAATAGAAACGTTTGTAGTGATACCAAAACTCAGCCGGTGGCAGCCGCGAAGGGTCGCCTGTCGGAGTGGACTCGCTCCCGTTTTCACTGATTACTTAAATTCATTTATATACTTTGCATATATATAGTACTAGTATATACATATATATAGTATTTGGCAGTGAAATGTATGTATTTCACTGCCAAATGCTATCATCAAAACAAGGCTATGCCTTCGGACGAAAAATCGCTGAGCTCTCTAACGAGTTCACGTGGTAACGACGCTAGCAACGGCCTCTAGAAACAGCCGTACTTCCGATCAACCACAAACCCTTTCTGATCTGAATGATAAGGTCGTAATAAGTTGTTCAGGGGCAAGCGCAATTAACTACTGTCTTTTGCATCACTCCATTTCACCATGATATAAACTAAAAGAAAATGAAGCCGGTTTTAATCCTATATGCATATCAGCGTAGTCTATTATAAATGTTGATACAATGAATAGGCATCTACTCAATGCTATCTAAGGGGAAAACAAATATGTAAGCTCGCAGTGCACGACTTCCAGATAATTCAACCACTACCAAACTCCGGCTAGAATATAGAGAAAAAAAAAAGAGGTTTCTGCTATTCGGGCTGAAAGATTCGTATGCTAGTTGATTCAAAGCTTTGCGTTGGTCACTCAGTCCTAATACTAAAGATTTTTCCTTAATTAGCAATCCTGCAAGAGGCACACAACTCGCAGCTTATTAGCGTTTTTGACAGGAACCGACCTTTGTAACGGTCCTTTTTCTTTTGAACATCAACTGTAAATCCTTTAAAGGCTGTTCACCGGTTTCTAACATTGCACTTTCTTCCGTTATGCAGCAGGAGCTGGACTAACATAAACAGTCGATTAATCGATTGAGTTCGCATAGTTAACGCCGGATTGACTCCTAACAATGTCTTTCTTAACGGCAACCTCCATTCGCTCATGGTTATGGCCCTTTCCGATGCGTCACGCGCCACGGCTAAACCCCTTACCCTCGGCGTTCTACATGTACTTGATAAACCCCTGGGCATCTCATCTAACCGTCGTCATCCGAAAATTTTCAGTTGCGGCGGCATCTACCGCCGTCGCTTCTGCGACGAATGTCGACGTCAACATGGACCACGACGACTTCTGCCACAGGGATGCCCACGCTCGAGCCAGAGCCTTCTCGCAAGAGAAGCACTAGCTTTAGGTAAGTGTGCTGAAATTGCCCTGTTCTAGTGGGGCGGTGATGTATTCGTCCTCTAGGATTAAAGGAACACCAAATAGCCTATGCTCGAAACCGAACGTAGTCCTATTTCTTTTCGTACTGGGAGGTGCTGGCGAGGCCGTAAGGCAAATGCATCGAATATAAAGTTGAGACTTTTTTAAGCGCTTTCACATTAAGCGGTAAATGCAGACCAAGTGAAAAAAATATAAACGATATTCCTGTTTTGAATACACAGTAAACTGAAAATATAATAAATATTTCATCATTTGAGGGCAATAATGTATTTATTTGAATACCACGTGTTGAATAAATTGTAGTGACAGCAAAATCAAGCGCACCAGTTAAGATGAATGGTATCTAAATCTAAATTTTTAGAAAAAAATTTGAAGATATTAGAAATAAGCTGAAAATAAATAGCTATACGACTAGTTGCCTATTTAAATATAACATGAAATTATTTAAAAGAAGTAACGAGTATATAGAAATAGATCGAACTTGTCAAAGCTAAAAACAGGACAGTCTGATGAACGAAAGTACTATTCTTACCGAGAATCTGACACAATTTAGAATTTTTTTTTCTATCTATATTTCGCTTTAAATTGCTACAAAGAAAAAAAAAATAGAAATTATTCACGCGGAAATACCGAATAGAGACAGTGTACAATAATCTCGCAAATCAACTAACCTCCATTTAAGTCCTTAGGGCTATCCAATAAACCCAGGTAAACCAATAAAATCGTTGTTGGTGTACGCTGTTCACCATAGTCCTCGTGATAGCGTAGTGGGTAACGTCTTTTTGCGCTAGTCGTAGAGACACATTGTGGTCTAGGTTCGAACCCGGGCATGCGGTTCGTTTTAGGAGGCAGCCGTTCGTCTGATCGAATGCCAAACGGCGATGCCGGTCGTAAGACTCGAAGCATAACGAACGTTGGCGGACCGTATAACCAACTAGCGCTACATGTTCGTTTATACTCGACTACCCTTTTATAGTTGACAAGTAAATGGAGTCGAATAATCGCTGAGGAACTGACCGGAACCGACTTTACCCTTCTGTAGAACTATTTGTTGTTATCTTGTACTTTTCCCATGGTGTATGCTATTGCACTGAGCTTTATGCTTTATCTATACATGTTCTTTCGATGTAAGATTGTAGATCCTTCAAAGTACCAGTCCTTTGTGCAGCTAGGGTAATAGCCAACTAACTAAAAAAAACGTTGCTTTCTGTACCATCATCACACGCGAGTCCACCGTTCCTTTATTGTCCTAACTATATATAAAAGAACGTTGCATACTAAATATATATATATATATATATATATAAACAGCTTCCTTGCTGGCTATCTCTCTTTATCAGTCGAACTCCATACGCACCATGGTGTGCAAATGTCTCCATACGAAAGCCGATAATTTTTAATAACCTACTGTGCTCTATGGCAGTATGAAGTTACTTCCAAAGAACTGGTAGTTAGTTACTGACTGTGTTGACCTAATTGCACGTGGAAAATGTATGACCGTTATGAAGCAATTGTTCCGAGCGCTTCAATGATCTCCTACTTGACACTCATTACTATCGCTAACAGCTAGTAGAACTTTTCAATGGCCTCCTTCGATGTTATATATGATCTAAAAAGATGCTTATGGCGGATTTACTGGAGCATTAAGGAAGGGCTTGTACAGATGGGCAGAAGGGCAGTATATTTGCTTAGCGCTAATGCAGACAAAGGCGGGTCTTGTATAGAGGATACGGCAATGCGATGAGCTCGAAATTGAAACCTAACAATATCTTTGTTGCATGCGTTAGTAATGAATTGAAAAAATCAAACATTATTTAAAGGCAGCGCAAGGCGCGGCTGCAGCCTCATGTCTCTATGGAAATAGGCTGTAACTTTCTGTCATTTCACTATTGAATGGATTAAGCATTGTGTGTTTATTTTTTCAAATCGTTTTTTTCTGTACTATTCCATATTTTGTCTTTTATTTTTAAGAAAAATCGCCAAAAATACGCTAGCTCTTTCGTTGACGTAATCCGTTAGTTCGATCATTGTGTGTCATCCACGTTGCCGACGGTAACCTGGCTGAGTTTAGAGAACTGTGCGATTAAAGATCTAAACGCCATTAAAAGCATTTTTTTTTAATATTTTTTCTTTAGATCCGGAAAAATCGGCTTTTTTTTGTTCGATCTACTTGTCTCCAAATCTTTCCCCCCACATATTTTTCGCTAAACTACTGGCTTGCCAGCTGATACTCACGGCCACGATGAATTCATTGGCTCGTCTGAAGCTTATAGCTTTCTATTTGGTCGACAAAAACGTCCCGTGACATTTTAATCCCTTTCCTCGAAAAAGTTCAATTTACGCTTTGTTTTTCTTAAACAACAGTGAATAGGCCACCTTCTCTCTACTTATAAAATGTCATTGTCGATTGCTGATGTCGTTGTTGCCTGTTGTTGCGATGTTGTTGTTGATCTCATTGGTTCCAGTGCTGCGCTGCGTTCGCCTTCATCGTCCCTTTATCCTCCAGGAGATCGGAACTCATTGAGCCTTGAACCTGGGTAAGCTGAAAAGTTGAAAGAGAAAGAGAGAGAATCATGGCGTCTGTTGAAAGACCCCAGAAAGAAAAGGGGGCGGACAAATAAAACACACTAAACTCAAGGAGAAGTTAGGTGAGATAATCTGACTTTGAAGCCGAATGTATACCCATGTCGATTCGTGCTGCGAGGAGGGTCGCCAGCCATCTGAAGCAATACGTAACAGTACTAACCCTGAAAATTAAGTCTAAAATAAGATAAATACGAACTCGTCAATCGGACAACGCTTCATAGCAATACTAATGTGAAAAGCTCGTCACAGAACGTCTCTTCCGGGAGTGGTCTGTGGAAGGCTGCTGGCCGATTCTGCAAAATTATTCATTGTCTCTTGCTGCTACGAACAGGCCTATCTAAAGACTACAATCGATCGTATTAAGGTAACAGCGTGAAGGTCACAATACGTGCTACACGCATAGCTTCAAATGCCTTTGAGCTTTTGACAGAGTAAGAAGATCGTACTTCACAAGTTTACGGCGAATGATAAACATTCGTCATTTGTGGAAAAGTGTAATTTCCTTTCTAAAAAGCAACGACGTTAGAAGAGAATGAAATCTTATAGATTGGCTTTTCATGGCGCTGTTTCCGGGACGATGCATTGATACGCAGCGCTGTTTGTTGGTAGTGATGTTTATAATTTCTTAACCACGCGATATGCCGAGACCGATGGCTGAAAAACAGCTTGCGCACACTCTTATATATGTATGGGTAAAGTAATCACGGTCTGAGGCACCCGAACCGGTCCCTCGACTAAAGGGACTTCCGCTATGAATGTTACCGACTTCTCTAGATGATCCTGTTAGGCTTGACATGGTTATCTGGACCTAGTGCTTCTTGCTGTGGCCCACATGAACGAAGATGTTGTAATGGACAAACGGAATGAAGTGTCTAAGTATTATCATAAAACTACTAGCTGGATCCTTCGAGCGGTTTCGACAAGCTCCTTTCAACTCGGACATAAAACAAAAATTAGTAGCAATATAATTATGCGAGCGTAAATTATTCGTTCCGTGTTTATTCAAATGATCGCATTACCCACATATTGTACCTACCTTGTATGCCCATAATTTTGTCAAAAATACCCAAATATTCCTTATCTAAATAACTCTCGACGATTTAATTTTCCTCGGTCTCGAATACCGATGTTGAAATTTTGGCGTTATTGTGAATTTCTCAAAGAATTTTTACCAATAGGAATAATAATACGTTATTCAGTTTGAGTGGAGTCTAAGCGAGGTTCGTCCTAACTTCAACCCGCTGCCACTTTTAGGCCAGTCGTTATTATCAGATGTACCACGGATCCTATTCAAGTTCGAAGTGACACATAGATCAATTTTGCTTCTTCTTACAAATTCAGATTCCGGTTTCCCTGTAAATACGATACGATGATAAACAGAGAAGCAACTCGATCGAACCGAAGTAGCTCTGCAAAATTTACTACTCAGTTAGTTAAAAGTAAGGGACGTATGTGTCACTTAGATCGATCAGGCGCCGTGGCTCTGTCTGTACCACTTTTGTGTGTGAATCTAAATCGAGACAGAGTATCAATATTGTAGAGATGGACGCATGTGTAATTGGACAAACATGTTATTATGAAATTGTTTTTAAATCAGCTGGCCTAAGTGGACGTTTTTCAATGTCGTGTATTCGGCTTAGCGCGGCTCTACTGTTTAAATGATGACAACACGCAATTCGAACAACATGACGTTTACTGTTGCTATTACAGACTGGCGGGTTTTGAGGATTGACGGGTTCGACACCTTAACAGATCAGGCTGGAATGAACAATCTTTGAGGGTTCCGCTTGTTGTTGTGAATATAGTGCGGCACTGTTTTGACTATTTGATCTATTACCAGTAATAAGTTTTTGTTATTATTAGGCCGCTCATTTCTGGTTAGAATAACTCACGAGCTATGGTAGCTGAGTCGTCGCTATGGGCGTTCATGAAACATGATGAAATCTTACGCCTGACGGCATCGACATTCAAATTGCCCGCTAAAAATCATCTCAGTGTGGCACTAACAGACGACGGTTGTTAGTCTCAGATTTGGATTTTTTTAGGACTAAAGAAATAGAGAATTGAACCACAAAGCAGCTTGCACGTATAGTTCGGCGCCATAGTTTTCCAGTTATGCTTCGATAGTGGTTTATTGAAGCGTATTTACTCACCCATCGGCAAACTATCAGCAACCATTGTACAGGGCTTCCTTGAGAGGATCACAACTGATTCTGATTAATTTTTGGCGCAATAACGTTAATATACGTTAGTACAACATGTCCTCGCATTTGAGAGGAATTACATTACATTATCAAATTAACCCGAGCGCAACAGTATGCGAGGCCATTTAAGTGTGGGAGTTGTTGACATCTGACTTTTTGTCAGCTCCAATTAACCTCGCTATAAACGTCAGCGCGTCTCGTCAGCCATGACTAGTTGAATTTCTGCACGTTATCTCAGGCTACTAATAGCACGTTTTACCTACCATTGTTATTGATATTAATCTAATGGATTTTCGATAGACATGCACAAATAACTGGTTCGTCCTAGCCAAATTACGTAAATGTAAACATCTACAGGTACTGGGCAGTCACATCCGACCTAAGATGCCTACTAGAGGCCTTTGATAAATTCGCCCAGTTAATCTCTCTTGAAATCGATAGATCGTCTCGATTCTTAACGTATAGGTACATACGTTTCTTTTCGGATAAGTCAGCCCGCCATTTCAGACATAAATGTATTTAAATTTTTTACCAGCTCTATAATAACAAGTGACAGTTTATTTAAGTAGCCATTGTTAAAGGTCGCTGGGAACTTCTTTCGAATTCAATAGAAACGACTTTTATAGGTATAAGGTGGTCATGCTGCCATTTAGGTAAAAGCTATGCCAGGTAATAGGCTGATGAGCTTGAACCGCGTGTTCTGTGGCATTACGTGGGCATAGACACACATGCACGGACAACGGAACAGTTATTCAGTCTCTACGTAAGACCTCTAAAATCTTGCCATGGAAGTGTAATAATTAATAAGGCACAATGCTAATAAAAATCCTACCTCGTTACGTAAGCGGCTGTGCGTTGCGTCGTGGGGTGTTTTTTCTCGTTACGATGATATATGCGAACGGTACACGTATTGTTTACCTATAGGAGTCACATTATTCATTTCTATCCGGACGATCGACTATTCACTTCTAACATTTATGTAACGTCCGCAGGAGCTGCGATGAAACGGAGTCCCCATCGTCAATCCCGGAGAATATACCAGAGACACGGAGAGACCGGCTGCGCTCTGAAGGGGCACTCAGCTTCGGCCACGGTGCCGATGAAAAGCCGATAAAACGAGACTCCCTGACCCCTGATGGACACGAAGTTCGATCAGATGGACGAACGGATCGTCTACGACTCGAACGCCGTTCCGAGAGTCAACGCTCAGATGTCCTTTGTGCTTACTGCGGCCGGCGAAGCAGTTTCAGCCAAACAATTCACGAAGAGCCATTTTTAAAACAGGTACGTACAAAACATACAAATATAAAGAAAAGTAATTTCTGGTTGTATCGAATAATCTCGAAAATGAACTATCAAATTAGAAAAACTCTATGAACATTTAGTGAAAGTGGGTTACCGTTAGCACCGGCCAGCGATGACCATCACACTACTAATGGTATAAGGTGATGACTATCGACAGAGTCGCTGACCATGAATGGGTTTGCTTGTTTTAACTTTCCTGATAAATTGTTATGAATAATGTAAATAACACTAGTAACAAGTTTCATCAGATACGTAATAATAAGGTAGTCCTAGTATAAACCACGGGTCTGATACAGCCTAACTAATTCTGATTATATCCGTTAAATATTTTTTTACGTCTTATAGGACAAGCCTCCTGAAATTTTTTCGCCTTCACCAGGCGTGTTCCACATCAACGGACAGGTGTTTGATACGCAAATGATCCGAACCGATGCGCTGCTAGCCACTCTAGGCGATTGGGATTTCCCCATTTTTGATCTCAACGATCGAGACCCGACTACTATACTAAGCAAGGTAAGTGCACTAAAACGACAACAATCGTAAGAGACTAGGGGACGTTGAAACGTATTGTGTTTATCTACATATAAAGACGTTTTCCCTGCCCAGTGTCGTTGGGTATTATTATTATAGCAGCATGTGAGACTGTGAACAATGCTCAACGACACTGGGCAGGGAAAACATCTTTATATGTAGATAAACACAATGTGTTTCAACGTCCCGAAGTCTCTTATGATTGTACGCCTATAAACATTTGTGAAGGAACGATTTTCCGGAATGGCCGATAATCTGCAGCAGGAACGGCGCTGTTCTGTTAAAAATCTATATCTAGCTCTCGTATACGCCTTCTACATAAAGCAATTTAGGTTACCACTTGCGTAATCAGTGACTTACGTATTTACGAAGTTTGGCGCGCTGTTGCTAGCCGTAAAAATTAACATCGACGCCTTGGATATGAGAGGCGGCAACTTCAAAGCATGTCAAAAACGCAAAAATTAATTAGCATTTTTCTGGTTCTTCAGAAAGGGCGTACATATATTGATTTTTTTAACAAGTGTATAGTCAATGTTTGCGCATATATTTCAAAATAGAATCTCCAGGATTGTCACGTATTATTTATTAGAAGTAAAGAACCAGATTTTATTAAATCCAGCAATTGATTTTAGTTTAATAATATAATCGTATTATAATGTGGTTGTTCGATTTGGCTTAAACGATCGGAATTGATTTATTTTTTATTATCAATTATTTTTGTGATACTATGTAAGTTTATGCAATGAACTAAATATGCCAGAAGCGTCAGTATGCAAATATACAAACAGTAGGATCGTTGCTAAAGCAACAAGTTCTGCATCGTTGTAGTTCTATTCTAAATTAAGTTATAGTTTAAATTATAGATAGTTCCATGTTGTTTTAGGCGTCAATGCAAATGATTTTGAATTAGGCCGATTTTGCATCTTGTTTTCGTTAATTAATTAAGCATCTCGGCTAAACAAACTTCCCACTGGGTGAGCCTTTAGCAAGTGGCTTAGCCGCCGAAATTTCTAGGCATAAATAGGGTTTTAGAGTGGAAAGAGAAAATGGCCAAATCTGCCATCTGAGATACTGTTGAAGGTGGCACCTTCTCAGAGAGAACTATATCTCAAAGGCCACAGGAAAGCGTTTTCCCAATCATTTCCTAACGGCTGCTAATTGAGATATCACCTAAAAATAACAACCTAAGTCTTTGAGCTTGAAGAGCAGAAAAATGACAGAAGAAATAGCAAAGAATGGAGTTGGTTTAGTGCGTCATCAGCTAATGCTAGACAATAGCCGAGATCCTCTCCGCGATCTTCATAAGCCCAAATGAAGGGCAGTCCATATGCAAGCGTATATACATATATATACCATATAACAGCTACTTTCCCAAAAGATAGTTTGAAACCCCATCTTCAATAATCCGACCCAAAATAGATTCGGACGAAAATAGGTTTATCAATTATATACAGTAATCTATACGAAGTCAGCGACAGCCTAATATTATACAAAGATTTTAAAAATCAAAGATATCTGCACGTGTCAAAACAGTAGACATGCTGTGTTTTCGCTTAAAGACATTTGATTTAGGCGGTGGTTTATGTCGCCTTGCGTAGACGAAGCTGTGAACAAATATTGGCTAACTTAGCGGTTGCACCTATTTGCTTGTCTGGGGAGCTTAATAGATAACGATTATCAGGAACAAGGACCGCAGCGCAGCCCTTCCACTAGACTGCCGTTAGAGGTTGAGACGGGTCCAAGCAGCTCTGGCCGCACCCTTTCGCCGTTCAGAAACTTTTCTTGAGCTGCCATTCTGTTACGCGTCGTGAAAACCATCGGATTCGCGCGCGATTTATCAAGAAAAACACAACCCGGCCAATTATCGCAGTACCGCTTATCATTTTAAACGTGATTAAAAAAACGTGTCCCATGGGTAACGTTTAAAAGCAAAATGTCACGGAGGCGGTGCCGTGTGGACGGCGGTCCATGGTCGGCCCATTACCTACAGTTGGTTATTGCCTAATCTGGGAATTGGATATATTCAACTATGCGATGTAAAACCCTTATGCAACGGGAGATGGCCAGAGAGACTGCGAATGTGGGAAGGGAGAAGCAAAAGTTTGTCCCCATCTAAATGAAGTTCAACATAAGGAGATACTAAAGGCGTACACTCTAGATAGCCTGTATGTTACCCTTCGTAACGTACAGGCTATGTAGATTATTCCTAAAGGTCCACAAACTGTTTACATGAGTTATTTTAACAGAGTAAAATATAGTACATATGCATCAGAGTCCACTGTAAGATGGTATTGAAAATGCCACGTTCCTTCAAAAAAAGTTTTTTTTTCTTTTTCAGAAGACTGATTCTCTAGAGGTACCCTGTAGTGCCTAACTAATAATCGTAACTGTTAATGTAAGTTCCATACGATTGGTGCTAGAGATAATCGTCAATTATAAAGCGGCAAAGTAATGGAACAGCTATATTTAAGCTCACAAGAAGAACATTTTGGCGGATCTTTACCATTTACTTGATTACTCAAAAGTGTCGAGTCTACCCTTTCGAATAGCAAACTATTCCAGGACAAAGATCGACTCTGACCATCAGCTTATCGAAAGCGCTGTCTATTATAGATAGCTGCCGGTCCTCGGAAGTTCTTTTTGTGAAAAAATGTAATCCGGTTTACGATTGAATTGGCTCTAATGCTACGCTGAAAATTGTCAATAGGTTTCATTTTGTGAGAGTCTCCTACTAAACCGTTTTTAAATCTGTCCATATGGGCATTTTTGAAATTGTCTTTGGACAAACAGCTGTCATCACATTACAGTAATCTACTTATGTTTTCACTTTAATCCGTATAAGCTATGCACTAATTCGTGAGCAAACAAATAACGGACGAGTCCAACCTTGTCCTGAAGGTCAAATCTGCCTGCAGATAGTTAGTTTCTTGTTAGTTGATATTATAACGTTACGTTGAAATCGAGAACCTGAAATGATTCTAAGCAAACCGATTGTTAGCTGTAGACACTGCAACGGTAGATATGCTTCGTGCCTACGGAGATTTTTACACTATTAATAGATACCAGCTTGGTCAAACTAAAAAACGGCAAGATGGAGCCAGTAGTCGCGTCGAAAAATCCCTCTAAACTCAGCATAATCATCAATCAATACAACGAGAAGAGGAGCAAAGTTCAGAGTCTTGCGTAACAGGATCGGTGGCGATTTGTCGTACGGTCGACAAAACATATCCAACAATTTCCGAAAATTTATACGGAAATATATGCCGGGAAAAAGGCACATAAAGAGCAAAAGATATTATATCGCAGGCTGCTGATATGATTATGACTAAATATATATATATATATATATATATATATAGATACTTTAAAGTACTATGACGATACTTATAACGTACTTTAAATATTATGTATAAAGTGAAAATGATTAGAACAAATTGTTATCAGAATTGGCCTAAACAGAGACGAATGTGCGCATTAGCTTCGCATTATGCACGTGGACTCTATATCTTGTATTGGGTACGAAGTACCTCACCACGTTGTGCATGAAGCCAATGAAGTGCTTTGAAAATTGTCGCTGAAGTGTTCACAGCGTTCAAGTACTCGTACACTATTATTGTTTATGTGGCCTAATCGTTAGACCAGTCCGCCAATAGCATAATATCACGGTCACGGTTGCGCTTTATTTAGCGGGCCTAAAGATAGCACGTCTATCTACTCACATATTATATTTTCTATTTATTTATTATAAAAGTGGCATTTTTATAGTGTGGCCGCAAAATTTACAAAAAGAAAGAAATAATGGTCAAAAGCCACCTTTGTAGTCATTTAAGCCTCTTCTATTGTTATACTTAAATTTTGTATTATTTGCGTGGTTTACTTAAGACATCGATGCCTTTTCGATGTATGGCTTGCAAAAAAAGACGGATCGTGTTGGTTTCTTATCTGTCTCGTCTCGCCATTTTGTCGCTTTCAGATGTGCTATCGAATCTTCCATGACACAGGCCTCGTCGAGTCATTCAAGGTTCCCGAAAAAGAGTTTTTAGCATTTCTGCACGCACTCGAAAATGGCTACAGGGACAAGCCCTATCATAACCGGATGCATGCCGCCGACGTGCTGCATGGGGTAAGCGTCCTGCTACGAGAACCGAAACAGATAGTAATATATATATATATATCGCTATTTGTTATAAAACATAATAAATTATAATATATAATAATATACTATATGTAATGTGTAGGACAGGAAAGGGCAAAAGTCTCTTGACGGTTTGAAAAGAGCCATTTTACATATTTATATATCTATACATCTGCATATACAGGCGTTATATACAGATGAATACAAACTGTCAAAAGTCATACGCCACATTCTGTCTATTATTACGAAAATACGTCGAGCTGTCGCTCTTGCTTGTTTTATATACTTTATATAGAATTAAAAAAAAAACTCGGTTTTGTCCATTTTCATATTGTTATTCTGTGCAACTAAGATGATCATAACACAAAGCGAGAAAACTTCACTGTTCCGTTAATGCGACAACAATTGAGTTATCATATAAAGACGCGAATCATGAGTGTTAGATAGACGGTTCTCGCCCGAGACGTCCACTCAGATTATCCCCTGTCGTAAGAGTCCTTGATTTACTATCGCATACTGGTACGGCCTGCTCTAAGGCAGTTCAGTCGAAAAGCAATCGGCTCCATAAATGGCCGTTTCGTTAATATACAGCACAAACGTCCCGTATATACGCACGTGAGGCAATCGAACACGACTTTAGTAGCCGAATATTCTAGACCTGTCCTATGACGATTGAATAGCCATAAAACCGGACATGTTTATATCGCATTACGCGGCTTACCGTCCTCCCTGCAACTTCAGCGACAACAACAATAAGAGCTAAATTTTGAATGTCTTATCTTGAATTCAGTAAAAATTCTGTATTCTGCACAGAGGGTGACGCCTGCCAGGTTTTCACCATTCGTTGTCCTTTTACGGCAATGTCGAGCAACGAATTAAATAGTGGGCAGAGGAGGGACTCTGCCACCTTTCTCTGTCAGAGTCTCGAGCTGAACTAGTGCCGTGCTTGTAAACGTAGCCTGTTTTTAATATTATTTTATTTAGAAACAAATAATGCAAAAATTCAGCTGCCAGTGCTGACATATGGACCGGCGTGCCCCTACGCCCAAAGATTAATAGCTGCTTGTGTATGGCTGCCGCGCCGTTTCATAGATCTATTAAACAAATTTCAATGAAACCACCGAGAGCCACCCCCGTTAGACTACCTGTAATGAGGCATGCTATACCTAAAGAGATGACTGTGATCACATAAAGAAAAGTAGCTAAAAAAAAACCGAGAAAAGTCTGAATGTAGTTAAAACACGATGGTGCGGATTTAAACCCAGCATTCAAGCCGAGTTGACTACATTACTTACGTCCCGCCTCTTTTTTACATTGTTTCACTTAGAGGCTTCTGTGTTTTCTTTGTATAGCAAAAACAACAATAATAATACAAAGGTAACATGCATGATCTATAAGACAATAAGTAAATTTTATTATATTACAGTCGGAATATATGATCGATCGGAATGTTATTTTTCCTTGTCGCACAGGTTTCTACTACAAAATAACGGTCTTGCATACACTCTTTATATAACCTAAAGTGAGCCGAAGGTAAAAATGGTTGGTACGGGCCATAATGATTCAGAGCGGGCATTTCCCTGCCATCGGCAATTTGTTTACAGTTGCCAATTGACTTTGGGAAAACATTATCAGATCGTCAGCGTTTTGTCGTCGATCTGTTCACTGGATACCGGATCCTTATTACCTGTTTAATTTGACTACTGGACGAAAAAGGCGTCAAAAAGAATACAAAATTAATTAATTAATTTCCTGCAATACACATCTAGTAATGCTGGCTAGTGTTAACTGTGTGAGAAAAAATTGTCAATTTCTTAACACACATTCTTGCCATTAGTACGATTATCATCGCCATTATCATTAAGTTAAGCTTAAATTACATTCGGTTAAGAAACAATTCTTAATTTAAATTCTCGATTTAAGAAACGATTGGTCATTGCCGGCTAATGATGACTTGTGTAATCGATAATGTATATAAACAGGTGTACTATCTCACTTCTCAACCGATACCTGGCTTGGAGCAAATCCCCGTGACTGATTCAACTCAACCAGAATTTGGACAAGATTCACCTATGCACCAGACATATTTTGGTAAAACAGAGTTTTATTCGTCGATATCATGTAGATGGAATATAGTTTTGTTGATAGCTTGATTTTTTTTAGCATCTTTCAACAGGAGTGGCCACACCGGAGCGGGTTTAGACCCTCTATAGGAAAATGTCGATTACGTTTACTGTTACCATGCGCACGTTTTATGTCAAACCGTGTTTATCCATGTTAAGAATTAGTTGTACGATCAAGTGTAGAAATTATATCAGTGATATCTTAGGCACCTTCAAATATATTTGTTTAATTTCTCGTTCGTTATTGTTGTTTTTGCCATCGCCACCGTCGTGGTCGCAGCACAAAGCTATTCATGTGATGCAAACCTGCCATACGGCATCATGGGTATTAATTTCCCTGCCCTGGAACTAATGGCGCTCTATTTAGCCGCTGTCATTCACGACTTCGATCACCCGGGACGGACGAACGCCTTTCTGGTCACGACCCACGCACCGCAGGCCATTCTGTATAATGACAGGTTAGTCTTATAGCTTTACACGTATAATATGTGTGAAGTACCGGATTAATTAGTCAGAGTGATACTGTATTGAATGTGGAGGGAACTACGCTGTACTAAGAAACGAATGAAAAACATCTTTATACGTTAACGTATATCAACGCTTGCACAGTGGCGTAAGGATTTCCGCGAACGTTTTCACCTAAGTCGTGCTTATATAGTGATATTCTATAGATCTAACTTACCTAATATAAATGCATTGTTTTTGTACACTAAATTCGATGGAAATATAGTATAGGTTTCAATGTTATTATATTTGGAGCCTTGTTGTTTATTCATAGCACTAATGCATATTCGTAGCACCCGAAGCACGATAATTTCGTTCCTAACAAGTAATTACATCTAAAAGCAGTTTCTACTAACTGTCCTTTACAAGCGATATCTAAATAAATGAGTTAGCTTGCCAGCTATCGGAAAGCTATACCTACAACTACCCAAATCATGCATTCATTGAACAGATATCTACCCACACTGGAACCTTAAACTTTTTTCATTTTGAGAAAGCTCGTCAACGCCGTAATGATTAAAGCGTGCGCACTTGGACAAGACATACAGCCTGGTCTCATATATTCATTTACTCGAAAATTAATCACACTCTAATTGTGTCGGTGCACATTGGCTCATACTGAATTTTCCTAAAAAAAATGAACAAAGATCATTTAAAAGTCATCGACAAACTGGATGAGGCGCGTTTGAGTCTCTCGGGACTCATCTAATGTAAATATAAAGGCTGAGCCGGTACGTCGTTTGTTATGATAAAGATCGCCTTATAGACGTCTTTTAGAAAACCTGTTGCGTGTTTCGTCTACGAGACCAGTTTCTCGTGAGCCCTTACTCAGAGGTTCTAGCATTGCTTGACGTCCTTCGTTAACGCCTTTGGAATCAAAGCTGTTTGTCTTTGCAATAGATTTATAAAAAGTGTACCTCTCAATTACATTACTAAGACTCAATCGTGGGAAATTTTCCAGAGGACCAGAGGACAGCGTTTGCTCTGATGTCTGCAAGCCCAAACGAAGAGCAGGACGTAGCCGATATTAGGCTAGTGTCCTCCACGCGCTGGTATATTTAACAACAGTTGTGGTCTATTCTTATTGATTTAAATTCGGTCGACAAATCGACATTTCGTTTACTTTTTTTCTCACTCATAGGTCAGTGTTGGAAAACCACCATGCGGCGGCAGCTTGGTCTCTCCTGCTGAGTAGACCTGAATTCGACTTCCTGCGCAACCTTGACAAGGCCGAATTTAAAAGATTGCGCTATCTCGTCATCGAGTGTGTTCTCGCTACTGACCTTAAACGACATTTCGAGATACTCGCTGAGTTCACTGCCAAGGTGAGTGCCAATCAAAGAAACAGTTGTGTACTAAATGAGAGGATTAACATACTGTACACGTATCAAATCGGCCTTGTTTTCTCGTTATATAAATATTTCCCGTGTACAATTTTTTTTAGAGCTTTTCACTTTAAGGCAGTTGCCCAGTGGTCCTAAAGCAACATATCCGAGAGGTACCTACAGTACTACAGAATGCAACTAGATGTCCGCTAGAGACAATCAGGCTTCCGGACTAATCAGGAATAGGTCTAGCACATACATTGGTAGCACAGTGAATGTATATATTCTTCTGTCATACCGATGAAATGAGCAGAACCTGGATATGACAACAGATAAAGACGGTTAAAAGATATTGTATGAGTAAATACATCCCCGTCACTAATCACGAATCATGAAGATACTCAAGCAGAACTTCGCTGAATGCTCTTCTCAGGCAGACAGTTGTTTGGGCTTGTCTCAAAATCTCATTATTGAACTCGATAGTAACGAGTACAACAACAACAACTAGAAACAACTGGCGATTTTTCTAGTTGCCTTCTTTATCAAAGCTCCCTATTGGATTACAAAAATAGGCCGATGTCCTAATAATAAACGCAAACGGCATCATGTATATAGGGACATTTTTTATAGCAATTGCATTGTCGACAAAGCGAATCAGTACATACGTCCTACTCAACCCATCGAAAAGGAAACAGTGATCGGCATAATTCGCAATTTAGCAGATTTAATCAAATGCCGCCTTGATCTGCGTCTGTATACAGATCTGAATTAGAAGTAGACTTTCGGTTCACGTGTGTAGCATGCCTGCACTAATTCGACTGTGCTTAACTCACTGATAATTCTGAGCACTGGGATCTTTTCTCTGTCTCTGTCTATGCGGTAAGGACGCGACCCTGGCAACAGGACCAATTTAACTTATATACTCCGTATAATGTAACTGAACTAACTGGACCTACAACATATTAACGAGTAGAGTGCATTTCAAAGCCGTGTTAGATATCGCCTTTATTTCAAGCTTATCGTTGATTCATATGGAGACCTTAGTAACCAGGACCAAATTTAGATCCGTTCCTCGACGATTTCTCGTGTAAGGCGAGCCGGGTAGAACTTTGAACAACACAAACAGCGTTCATCCAAATGCAAGCCACGACTATTTATTTCTATCCACCTATAATGTCCCCTGCCTTAATTAACAGATGAACATGGCGGACAGTGCGGGGCTCGATTGGACAAACGAGGCCGATCGCCTGTTAGTTTCCGAAATGGCCATAAAACTATCGGATATTAACGGACCGTGCAAACGGCGGGACATTCACGTCCAATGGACGCGCCGGATAGAACAAGAGTTCTACGAGCAAGGTACTAGAAATATGCGATGATGACAATAAGAATGGTACGATAAAAGATAAATAAAGAAAAACTCAAAAGTAAACCTATTAAGTGGATGACTTCTTTCTATTTGGATGTTCAGATGATCTAGGAGTATACTCGAAGTAAAGACGTTGATGTATTTATATTACTTTTGTTTCTATTCTATCGATATACTTACTCGAGCCATGTGAAACTATGATTGATTAATTTAACGATGTATACTCAAAACGAGTACAACCTACGTAAATATCCCCTGACAACTGCGTCATAGGTGATGAAGAACAACGTCTAGGACTTCCGGTGTCGCCGTTCATGGATAGATCCCGACCGCAGCTGGCCAAATTACAAGAATCGTTCATCAAACACCTGGTAGCTCCCCTCTGCAATGCTTACGGCCAAGCTGGACTGTTGCCCGGTGAGTGGGTGAGCGTTGACGGCGATCACTCTACCAGCCTGCGGCCGCCTTCTCGTCACGGCACTAATGGAAACCCAGGTAGAGAAAAAAATATACACGATAAACAGCAGTCGACACTATCGTTACCGAGAACACTTACGTGAAGTTTTAATCAGACGAGGCAAGCTGTTTCCTAGCAATTTGTCAGGTTTTATTGTTTCAGGCGCTGCTAAGTCGAAAAGTTTTGCTCAATACAAGGTTTCATTTCGCGTTTAAAGATAGCGATTCAGCACAGCTAGAGCGGTCAAAACCATACGTCTATTTGCGAATTATTATTATTTGACTGCGGTTATATCACAGATGACGAAGCATCCTCCAGTGATACGAATCTAGATGACGACGAAGCAAAGGAAGACGAAGAGGCTGGCGATACCGGCAAACCAAATTCCCAACGTTCAAATCAAGTTGTCTGTTTACAAACCAAGCATCTACAGGTAGGTCGTTGAGGTTTTCCATAAAGAGTTTGTTTTGCGTTTCTGTCAGATAGTAAATGTTTGCAAACGTCAATCTGCTCTATGCAAGCCACGATCTTGCCTCCCTTAACTTCATTGGTTTATCGTTAAAAAAAAATAGTACATTCACGATTATACGAATTAACTACACCACTCCAAATACTTCCGTATAAATGCTTTTGCATTTGGACGTTCGCCGCTATTTCCATCTACTTTTATAGCACACAGCAGTGTCAAAACATGGTACCATTATAAATTCTATTTTATTTCATAGGACAATTACGCATATTGGATCAAGGTTCTAGAGAAGGAACACGAGTCGAGTGCCAGCCTCAAAGAAGGCGACGGCGAGGAGGCCGACGCCGAAGACTGCTGATTATCAATGCCCAGGATGATGACAACAGGTGCCGCCATGATTGTAGAGAAAAATTAAGAGGACAAAGAAGAGAAAGCAGATTTTTGTAGATGTACGACCAGGAACAACAGGATATTGTCAGACCTCACGCGCCCCTGCGGAACCTTCCTCGCTTGCCTTTAGAGAGCCATAGGGGACACCCAGAGTTGTAGGGTTGCCAAAACAAGCACATGTACACGCAAAATAACAAAGCAAGCTATTACGCCGACTGATAAGAGAGATAATCTATATATACGGGCTCGTGTCCATACAAACGTACAGATATATAGACACACAAACGATAGCAACACCTGAAGGAAACACGTCAAGTAAAGACCGATATAGGTAAACGAAGCTAGCCAATGTGAGAGGGTAAGTTGCTCCAGAACGAAGATCTACTCTAAAAAAGTCGCCTAAAGCTAGCTCAGACGAAAATTTGCCATGCAAAATCGTTCTCGTTCCTACATTGGCGACATCAGTACAACTATCCTATCCATTGAATTGAATTGGAACATGTCCAGTGAACAATATCCACACAAGTGCGCTACAAAAATACCCACAGTAAGTCTGACCACAGTAAGAGTCTATTGCAAATTTTCGAAGGTCCGCTAGAGACCGCACTAAGGCTACTCCAACAGAGGCCTCAGGCTCAATCTGTGCCCCTAGGTCAAACATCTAAGACAGGTTTACTCCTGATTGTGAAGCCGAGATCATCACTGGCTTTGTGACGACTCATGAAGTCATTTCTAAGCTGGCGCAAATCAATTCAGAAAGGCTGCAAGAGGAGAAGTATACTGTACTATCTCACAATTGTTTTTTAGGCGTCGTTCTTGTAAGTACAAGAGTGCAGTGTGAATATCATGCAATTTGCAGATCTGTAATGCTCCGAAGGCTCTGGTTCACCACGCTTTTCCTGAAATATAAAATAACCCTGACTCTGATAAGCTTTTGTCTGGCCACGCCACTCTCGAAGTTCCATCTGATCGCTTTTTGATCAAGCAGGTTTTAAAAATGCAGCGAGCCATATTTGTTTGATGCCAGACCAATCACCTGGGGAACACGCTCTCCTTGACAGAAGACAGCTTTACGTTAGTGTTATTGATTTATATATTGGATGAATGATTAGGTCGTCAAAAAGCCATATAAGCATAAGAGGAAATAACGAACAAGATTAAGATTGTGTTGACGTGTGACTGAAATAGTTTAGAAGAGCGTCATTGATTCGAATCAGCTTCAATTGGGGATGTGACACATACGAGTGGCTAAAACGGGTAGACATGGTATGACTTTTGAGATCTGTGTCAAACCAGCAAGTTACTTTGTCCATAACTAAGACCTTCAGTTGAGGTCTGCCTATCGAATAATTTGAAAGAAAGCGATACGGCTTAACGAATTTGTCACCTAGGTAACACAACAGGGAAATTAAATAAGTATCTATATATGACATATTTTGGCCCGTCAAACTGCAGGGCAGAACTAAAAGCGCTCACTTCGGCTTCAAAACGTTAGGCCAATCAATGTATGATAGCAGCCAGATCATTGACCTTTCGAAAATCGATATGAAACCTGTGAGCTAGAATGGCTCCGAAACGACTGACATTGAGGAGAAGAGCCAGACCTGGGATGCGATATGAACCTCCACAAATGTTTATGTCTGTCAGTGTGACATAGGCATCAGTTAGCCTTCATATCAAGAAGCAGTATTGTCAACTATGTGTCGTTTACGATGCTTACCGAATCTCCGGGGTGGTTTCTGTCGGGTATCTAAGCCTAGGTAGTAGCATGTGTAGTTTGAACAATCGGCGTGCCACAGAGCGGAAATAAGAGTACGATGACAAGTATACACGGGATATTGTAGCGTACACAGTCCGGCTGGACTTGATTTTTAACTTAAGTTGTACGCCTCAGTATGCTTGTTGATCACACCATGTTAAGGACAAACATAGAGAAATAAAAGATAAACACAGCCATGAATGACCGAAACATCCACCTATTGTATCGGTGACGCATAATGGAATAATACTTCTCATATATATACATATATAATTTTATTAATATATAATTTTCTTATCTTTCCAATGTGGTCCCGTAGCAGACTCTGACTGTTGTTGAGAAATGGCGTCGCAAAAATAAAGAGAAAAACGTCGCTAAATAAAAACTTCACACCATTTGCAGGCGAAGAAATGTTGCATTGTGTACCGCCGCAAGCGCCATTGATCTTTAACCGTTGATTTAGTGGACGTTGTGGAACTTAATGAGTATATAAGAGAATACGGCGGTAAATAGGCAGCACTGAGACGAAAAACGGGCGCTGATAAATATAACACACACCTATTCATACAGTTAGTAAAAGAGAGGGAGAGAGAAGAGAGGCGAGAAAAGGTGCAATAAAAACAGGATCAGCAACCAAAAAAAGCCTGGACAACCAATATGACGCGCAACGTGAGCTGCGCATTTTTAGACAAAAATGCCACCACGATATGCCCCAAAGTGGGTGGCGTAAATTTCAAACCTAAAAAGCCTCATCGACGAATCTCGCTTAGCAGCCCATTGACGAAACATGACGAAAGAGTTTAAACAGGCTTATTCTGACATTTTGTCATGCTCAGTCATATGTGCAAACCGAAATCACGGTGGTCATAGGTCTTTCATGACCAAGTCGCGTTTCGAAATCGGTTCCAGAAACAGCCTGCTACGGCTGTGGCTACTGTATAAGAAGCTATTCCAACGGGTTACACGTTACTTGCAGTGCTCGGTCGTTAATGAAGATTACTATAACAACGAGTGAATCATAAGCGGGCGACATTGCCATGGCGATATAATGAGCACAGAAACATCTCGTGACATCACTACATGCCTGCGTGATTTGCATCAGAATGCGTTCATGTGTGACGTAAAGGTATGAGTTAGGACTAAAGTAACAGTTCCTTGGCAAATTCAAACTTCAGGCTTATGGACAAGTCCTGCATATTGCTCTGAAAACGTCAACAGGCATCTTCTCTCTTTCTCTTTGAGGAGGGGAAGTTCACCTTCTGCATTGAATGAACGTTTGGGAGCAAATTTGAAAAAAGTAAGCGCTGGCCAAAAACCTCCTGAACAGGCCCACTCAACAGTGACCATAACAGCAGCAACGAGCGTCATCTTTTCCGACGATAATGATGTTCAAATGGAACTGTATAAACGGACAAATATATATATATATATATATATCTTGGGGGATGACAATTAATTAATATAAAGAGACGAAATAAAAAAGAAGCACTTAGCTACTGTAAGCAGTTGCTGATATCGTGCGTGTATCGTTACTTTATTGTCAAATGCATCGTTGCACTGGTCGGGAAAACGAGTAACAAAATAAAAATAATGATAAAGTCAATATAGCATGATTATTATAAACACTATTGCTAATATTACGGGAATTATATATATATATATATATATATATATATATATATATATATATATAGCAACGACGCCGCATAAATACCACACACGTAGGCGCATAAATATAACTTGGCGTTACCAGACAATAAAAACAACAACAAACGGGAGTACGTATACAGGGTACGGCAGCTAAATAGCAGAACCTCGACGGGCTGTCGACATGCGTTTTCTCGCTGTCCTCGGTGCCAGAAGAAAGCCCGTTCTTTCTGGTATAAAAAAACTAGTTCGTAATGGCGAAGCACAGTGCGTCTTTTTCGGAACTTGAACAAAGATTAGCTATTATCCCATCTCTACGCGCTTGGCAAATCCCCACAAAGATTAACAACTTCTTTTTTCGCCTGAAATCGACGGCTTACGTTATCGCTAGTTTTTCTGCGGTTTCTGAAAAATACGAAATATTTTCATGAGGCAAGCTAGAGGATTATTTGTAGGGTTGGGATCTAAAGGGTTAAAAAGTAATTTTCGGCGAAGTTAACCCTAACGGTATCGCTTATTGCAATTATTGAGAAAAAAAACTATTTGCAAATTAGTCATATTGAAAAAAGTACTTAAATTAATTTGAAAATTACTAGTGAGTCGTTTAGGTTCTGAATTGAAACCACAATGTGATGGTTAGATGCAATAAGCATGGCTGTCAGGAATGACGCTTATAACACACGTGAAGAGTTTCGTCAAAGTATCTCTCATTATTCAGGTATAGCCTATGAAACAAAACATAAGGGAAGGTCTTAATTTGGGTGCCGCACCCTGAATTTATAGCTGATGTCTGTAGAGGAACATACGCGACGCATTAAACATATGATTATAAGAATAACAAACTATTAATAGTATTAAAAGATGGTTGCAATAGAAGCAGCATAATAACAAAAAGACTATGTAATGATAAGAAACTATATTTGATCGGTTATGTCTGCTGCACCTGTATTAGAAGGAGACAATTGTCAATGACGAGCTCATCACCAAGATCTTATGATCTGCCACGAGATTTGGCCAGAATCACACAAGGTTGAAAGATACCATTCACAAAAATCTATGTAAGTAAACTAACTTACCAAGAGGGGAACGCAGAGGTTAATCGGATCGTTCCGTGGAGCGTCAGTGAGCATATTGAAATCAATGTGATACTGTAAGAAAGTAAAGCAAGGCAACGGACTGTCGTTTTGTGTATTTCAACACAGACAAACTGCCGAAATATTCGGCTGTCTCAACAGAAAAAAAAAGGAAAATCGTCAGAAAACAGCTAAAGAAAAACTAGAACAGAGTGACATAAAACACTCTAAACGATATTAGGGACAGCGGAGCGTAGAATATGGGGGCCGGGGGGCAAAAAAATAGACAGATTTGTATCGAAAAATGCTATGTACGATTAAAACAACAATAATCTAACGACAATAACACCACAACTAACAAGGCTGAGATGGAGACGATATACGCGTAGATAACATGGTCATGGTTGGTCGAATTATAATATGCGCGGTGATGCCGTGTTTCATGCATAGGTTAAAGACATACGCAATACACATACGCATGTAGTACATACCCATACAGAGACCGATGAGAACAAGACAGAAGAGTTAGAGTGAAAGCTACTGAAAAAAGATGGAACATAGCAAGAACTTGCATTAAAGTGGTTGTAGCAGTTCTGCTGAGCATTTCGACATGTTTTTGTTGAGGCAGGCAACCGCAAAAAGGACAATGAACGAGACAACATAGCGGCAGCATATATAAGCACAAGAACTGCCAATTAAACAAATGGACTAGAAGTGTAGAGAGAGACAGTGTCGGGATGAAATCGAAATGACGGAATTGCACATAAAAGGGTTAGAGGGAGAGAAAAGTACCAGTGGTATTCACGGTGAAACAGATAACCCAACCACAAGAAAACAACAGTGAGATAGATGGAGCGAAAGTTCAGCTATGTGCGGCCAGAACTGGGGACAAATCGTGTGATCACTATAACGATAACTTGAATAAAACATATAAAGAATAATATTCAGCTATAGCCATAACTGTAGCACCCTCCTCCCCCCCAAAAAAAAACAATAACAACACAGGACACAAAAGACACACACTCACAAACATATAATAAATTAACTATATATAAATATATATGACGATGATGACGAGGACATCAACAATATTAGTAACAGTAAATAATTTATGGTGGTTGGAGACATATGTAGGCTGCCGATAACCGTGTCGCGAAACAAGTGAGCGTAAAAATAAAGAATAATTGCAAGGAGCTGCTGATAATATTAAACGTTGAGGAGCAGGACAATGTCAGGTCAATGTTTATTAACATTGTACGGCGCCAACAACGTCACGTATCTAACCCGGGCTTGCGTGATCACTAAATCCTTGACTTGCTCTAAGTATACCATCAATTCGCCGACTGCGTAGCAGAGAGTCCGCCGGGCATGAGGAAAACTAGGCTTGAGGCTACATGCAGCGGCAGCATTGCAGAGAAGAAGCAGAACTCAGGAACGACCCGCCCATAAAAATGGTGGTAGTTGTTCAATTTGCGGCAACATGGGGCAAAGCCACAAATCAAATCAAACAGAACAGGAAGATAATGTGGGACAAAACAAACAATGATCGTAATGGTAACGATAAAGAAAATTACAACAGGGGAAAAATACATTTTTAGGTAAAAAAAATATAGGCTGGGGCAAAAGGTCAAGAAATCCGAAAAGAAATAAATAATAAACTGTTTTTGTCAACTGTGTTACGAATGGGTGTGGTTAATTAGGCAGATATAATAGGCCATAATAAGAGATTTACAACTTATAGTATATTCGCAACAGATTTGAATCGTTGTGCTCTTTGCGATAGATTCCTCAATGTCGACTGAATATGACTTTCCCGCATCTATTGTAGGTGATTGGAAAAATCGCACCTTATCAACAAGCACGGATGCTTAATTTTTAGGATGTCTGATGAGATTCGATTTCGTTCAAATGGAGTTTGGAAAGAAGGCAACTTTTAAAAAATAAGCATTGTATATAAGTCTTTACGCTGCAACTAACGCCTCTACCTGGAGAGACCCCAGCATTAAGCTTGCTACAAAGGCTTTAATTCTCTTCGAATTTTTTTAGAGTCAACTGTTAAGCTATCAGAAACTTAGAAACGTAAGAGCTGATTGCATTCTCATTTTTGAACTATTAACCAGAATACTATACTTTTTTAGCTATTCAGATCTTCACAAAAGATGACAGAATTTCCGCGATCTCAAAAGATCCTTAAGTAGATACGCTCATAGTAATGATAAGCAAACCCCTTGTTCGTTTTGTTCCGGATAATCATGTTGTTAATGGATATGAAGTAGTTCAACGTGTTGGGTTGTTTTGTAGAACAGCGGCTCCTCGTTTAACTGTAATGATTCTAAATATGATTTTCGTGGCACTCTAAATGAAATCGCCGGAATCAACAATGCTAAATAAGTCAGGTTTAATTTTTGTGCGAACTATTAGCATTTTATAGCAGCGCTTGACCTCTCTAAGGTCTTGATCTCTAAGAGTATGCTGATTATTTAAAAAAAAAAAAAACTTTTTAGAATGTAATGTCAACAGATTTAATTTTACTAATAAGTCAACTGTTAATTTTTTTCAGACGTAAATAATACAGACGTAAATTTTGGGTTATACCTCACGGCCACTAAAACTATTAAAAAATATATTTTGCTAGAAAGAAGTAAAATTAAAACAAGACATTTTTTAAAAACTTTTTTTAAAACTAATCTAAAAATCTCTGACATAGCTTTTATGTACAAACCCTAAAGAAACGGTTATCTTCTAAATGCCAACATGTAATTCGTCTATAAAATTATTAATCATCTTCTTTTTCGCGAAAATTTTTCACAGATAATCATTACCGTACGGACTATTCTCGTGGTTGGTACGCCTACTTGCAAAACACACTAAAAACGCTTTCTTTATCATTTGTGGTTTGTTACCGTGTATTTTTTATTTTTTCTTTCCAATATTATCCATTTACCCATCGTTTTGTCATTGTATTATCATTCGCCACCATTATCATCATTATCATACACTGCATCTTTTTTATCATGTTCTCGGTGCCATGATTTCCTAGATCATTTACTCAGTCTCCTTTCAGAAGTCAGTTTTCCTTCAATAATAATAATAATAGTGTTTATAATATTAAAAGTCACCATATCATCTCAGTGTTATTTAGATGTGTATCTAGTACCATTAGCGAACCTCATATTGTATTGGTTGTTGTTTGTCGTCAGTTTCGGCGAGTTGTGTTATGAATCCTGGCGGAACACCTTACGTACTTTCTGTCTGCCCTGTGTTTTACTAAGGCTCCATTTTAGTTGCCGATCGTGTTACCGTGTCCTCTGTTCGATACGGGGTGAACAAAGTGATTCGAACAGTGTCAACGAGCAGGAAAAGTTCTGTGAGATAGGAAGGAAGACTAAAAAAAAAAATAAAAACAAAACAACCTGTAAATGTTCTTTACACACGCGTTTGATTCTTTATTGCTGTTCCTCTATGTAGGTGGTGTATTCATGTATATTTTAATGCGTTCATGAATTATTATATTTATTTATTTACATGTCGACGGACAAAACGAAAAATAAGATCAAGGTCGGAAGGCAAATATCATCATACCAAAAATAGGAAATTTTTAATTACTCCGCATCGCTAAACGAATAATTTTATTATTATTATTATAAAAAACCTTATTTATACTATTAATTGATGTAATATTTTGGTTTTGAAATAATTTGCAAGGTACACGCGCACCCACACACACACATAGATCCACACACACACACTCACATACACATTCACACTACACGTTCACGCAATCACACAACCACACACGAAAATACAAAAAACGACCAGAACCGCCTGGCGGTTTACCATTTTACTCAGCATCAAGTCAGAACAACGATTTTCCCCTGTAATGTCGTTCGTATTCACTGCCACATCACATACGTAATCTGACAATGAATATTATTATTTACCATTTCTCCAACTTTACAGGACGCACTCGTCCACAGAAATTATCACGAGAGTTTCTGTGTTACACATCAACCATATTTCGTCATTCAAAGCACATCTTTTACTCGGCAGTCCATTCACGCATGCCCCTGTCCTTGACTCTCGCATTCGCTTGTTCGACATCATCATCATCATCATCATCAATTTTACATATTTCTGCTATCGTTACAGGACTCGTTCACTGCATTCGTATCTTGTAGAACGTTTCCGTTCCACCATGCATGTCACTCTCGTCACACCCATTTGTGTCATTTGTTTGGTTGTTGATTATTTACTAGTTATATCGCCATTATGATTATTATCGCCATCATTATCTTATCTGCTTTATTTCTGTGTATTTTTGTTTGTTATTTATTTCACATTACGCCTTCGTCAGCTTTGTTCGTCATAGTTGATTTTTCTGGGTTTTTCTTTATGATTACGCATTTTCTTTTTGTATCAAAGTAGTGAAAAGTAGCAATTATGCAAGATGATCTAAAGTCAAAGAAACACTAGGAGATTGACACACACACACAAACATATATATATATATATATATAGGGATCATTTTTAGTCTGTGTATTGTTTGACTCTCTTTGCCGTAAATATGTCTGAATATTCGTGTAAGTATCGAATGATAGAAGCCATTGACTTACGACATTGTATCTTTGTTTGTTTTCGTGAGGGTACAACGCTCATCGTGATAGTAAAGTTCTCATATGTACATAATTCTCAGCTCTTATTGTTTTTTGTTGATATAGATGTAATTGTTTCGTGATGACTGGCCGTGTGAATTGGACAAATAGTTTCTCATGTTTGTGTGTTGTTGCTGTTCCTGTAATAATCAGTGTAATTATTCTTAACAGCGCATTCATTTAAACCTTACTATATATTAGTATAGTACAATAATTAGATATTGGATTAATACTATCCACACAATTTTAATCTCATTGCATTACTGTCCTACTGAAGCCTTTCCAGACCAATCCGCGGTTAATTACGCAGTGTGTGAACCTATATTGATCATTATATGTTCAATTCGACTGTTTTTTAATTAAAGATCCGCCAAGTTGTCCATCTTCTGCTAACTTCGCCCCAATATGTCCATAATGGCCACTGAGTCATATGAATTTTCTGCAGGCGTTCCCTGAACTATAACGCTTTTATACTGAATTTTCGCTCGGGCCTTTCTAAGCAGATTTTGGCCTTGAGAAGATTAAGATTATGCCTTTTGTCGAACGTATTTAGAGAAGTGTCATTGCTGACTGTTAACTGTTCTTGTTTACCGACTATTTTAGCCCTGTCTACGCCTCATTGTTCCAGTTAGCTAAATGCTTAACGGGCACATTATAATGATTATTTCCTGTTATCCTATCGTGCATAATTGATAACAAGAGTAACAGGATCCACAGGATGGACACGGAATTACACGTAACAAACAACAGACGTCTCAAATTAAACTTTGAACCTTATCTGTTTTAAGAACGATATCTCCAATCGTGGGTCGCTACTAAACGCAATTTCGCACATCATCTGTCAATACTTAGCACGGGTGTTTTACGAGATGATTCTGTTTGCAATGGAGCGATTCATCCAATCACTCTTCCGCATAATGGCTGCCCCCCATAGTTAAACTCGTACATGTCGTTGTTTGCGATGGGCATTAATACGATTTCCTTTTTCATTGTGATACCATCAGTGGCCTCATGGCCTCACAATCGTGACCACCTTATTCACATCAGCTAGCACGAATCGTAGTACAGGTTCAGAAATCGCTCATTTTCCATCGAGTGTCATGCAGTCTTGTCACTGTCACTTTCATCATTAGTTACTCTCCCCCTGTGGTGCTTTATTCCGCTCAGATTCTCTTACCTCTAAATGCGATAACACTCAGCCATCAAATCCAGCCACTTCGCTGCTTAGAAACATTTTCGGTAACTGAACCTCTCCTGCAGCTAACGAGACATCACTGTACGCCACAACGCAACCCTCTCTGGTCTCGACGATCTGAATATCACGATTTTCATAACCCTCCTTTTCACATACCAATAATTGCGTCCACGAAAATATGCCAACTATACACGTTCATTTTTGCTATTTTATTATTACTCGTACTAATAATAAAAATCCCATTAAGAAGTAGTCGCGGTCGTCATGGCCAGACAGTCAAATCGTTTTCCTTTTTCCTATTACATTTTTACTTTTTATTTCCATCATCGCCGTGATCATGAGCGCCACCACTCGAATTCACTAAACATCACATTTTTCACATCATTGCTCATATTTTCAGTAAAACAAAAAAAGGTAGGTAATTTACACCGCTCCCTATCAATCGACCCGTATCATTTTCACTCACAGTCACATATTTAGTGTCTCCCCTATTTTTCTGTACTATTGAAGTCTCCGGGCAACCTTACGGGATCGAGAATGAAAATGAAGTCCTTTCGCCCGTCCATGACCCCCTATTTTTAGCTGTTCATATCTCCTGACCTATGTCGACATGTGTTTAGTCTGTAAATATTTATGGATAGATCAATTTATATTTTCGCGTCTCACAGATGTTTTCTACCAGCTAAAGACACTGTCTACCGCGCCCTTGATATTGTAGCCAGCAGCATGACTGTCCCTGTGGTCGTTACTACTAAGCTAGTTGGTGGTTGTGTTGTTGTTTTCGTCGTTGATGTCATTATCATGATGTCACTATCGTTATCAGTTCTCGTTTTCATAGTAATTACAATACTTCATAGTCAATATATGTTCGCTCGTGTCCGTGTGTGTCTTCTCGTGTCGCATACATAT